ATCTGTCTGTAAGACATGGTCCCATGACACCTGTCTGAATGGTTAGTTTATATGTTTGTGTAGTCTGTAAGACATGTTCCTTCTTGACTGTCCTGACATTTCAGTGAATTAATGGATTAGTTATTGAGTGGTGATCATTTGTAATACATTAATGTAATTTTCAATTAGTGCTATTATTGGCCATGACTGCACTTACATGGTACCAGGTGTTATTGAACCTTTCCTAATCGTCTATATCATATATCATTGAAAATACTAATAATAATTTCAATCAAGGAAATAGTGAACAATCTGCAGAAGCTTACCCCCAGCACATGCGAGAGGGGGGATATAGTGGTCATCAGCATCCATCCGTCTGTACATCCGTCCGTCCGTCCATCCGCCCGTATTTTTATATGTCCATATGAAGTCATATCAGGAAAACAATTACATATAGAGAAAGAAGGCCTGAAAGCCTTTGCCGCATTCTGGCCATGCTGTGTGGCGCGTATCGCGTGGACGGGTTTCATGTTCTCTGTACGTAATAAGCTCGGTTATTAAGCATCCTTTTTTGGGGATGCCCGGTGGCCGAGGGGAAGACGTGTAGTGGCGTGAAGCTAGACGATTAGGTGCCGTACGCGAGCACCGGTTCGAGTCACGCACGCAGTACGTATTTACTATAATTAGACATAGTCTTTACCTTGCCGTTTATTCGGTGTTATTTACATATAGAGAGACGTGCACACAGTGGTACAAATATATATTAAAGACATTGCACACCAGATCTGGGCAACATATTCAATGACCATATATGGTCATGTGACCTCAAATATACATAAATTTATATGGAGCACTTTTGCAGATAGACATTTAACCAGTGCTTTATTTGAGACATTGCATACTCGATCTCGTCAATATATGATCATGTGACCTCATATTAAACTATTATATCTGGTATCCTACGGCAGATACAGACATTCAACCAGTTACTTATCTCTGATGACTTTCTGGTTTACATAATTTTCTTCATTGTGATAAAGACATAGTCATGTAATATTAATTTTCTGGGGAAAACAAACATTCAACCTATTTGCATACATGTATATGTTAAATCTCAATATTTGTTATTCTGTGAAATTCAACAATTTGGTGCTATCCATCATCATAATATTTATTGGTGTGATGTTTGAACGTGTGGGATTACAAATGCCTCATCTGTTGCTAGATTTGATTCAGATCAACTTTTTGCCATTTAGTTTTATATCTTTGTGTCTGAGATTGTTTCTAATGCAACGACGTATATTCTTCAATGAAGTTTAGTCTAAACACTAAGGACAAACATATATATATATCAATTTGTTTATTTTTTTTTTATTCAAAATGGTCAACTGGAGATGATCATGTTTGCATGCCATGGTACTTCTGTCAGAAGCATCAAACAAATAATTTCAAAATTGTCTCTCTGGCCAGACTTATTGTTAACATGAATTGTAGCTATGTTGTTTGTGTCAATACCAATGCACACAGTCAATGATTTCTTTGTTTCTGTTTATTGCAATAGCTTATGGCAAAGTATTTTTGGTGCGGAAAGTTGGAGGTCATGACTCAGGCAAACTGTTTGCTATGAAGGTGTTAAAGAAGGCCAGTATTGTACAGAAAGCCAAGACCACAGAACATACAGTTACAGAAAGACAAGTACTAGAGGCAGTACGCAGATGTCCATTTCTTGTAACATTGCACTATGCTTTCCAGACAGATGCAAAGTTGCATCTTATATTAGGTAAGTTCAATTAAAATTGAATAAACTTCATAAACACATGATACATCTGCACATGCATTTGTTTGACCATCAGATTCAAGATGGCCAAATGGTGGCCATTTTAATGTTCATGTTCATCAGAATCAAACATTTGTGCCATTCCAGAACTACATGTAGATCTAGGTCGTGGATGGATGGATTTTGTGCAAACTTGGTACATACATTATAAATTATGGGACATTGATGCACAACTTTTCGTTTTTCATATTGGATAAAAAAAATGGCCAACTGGTGGCTATTTTGTTTGAATGAAAACTGTTTCAGAACCAAATCTCTGACATGCCTTGATTATGTTCAAACTTCACAGATAAATCTTACATTGTGTCACATATACATGTACACATTAATTTGTTTGATGGTCCAATTCAAGATGGCAGAATGGTCACTATTTTAATGTAAAAATGCATTACAATCAATGATTTCTGCAATTCTGGATCCAAATCTTGGTTATACATGAGCAGCTATTGTCTATCTTGTTACATACTATATTATGTCATTTGTGTCATAGCTGACTTATTTCAGTTTTGTTTGCTATTGAATTTAGGAGAGCAAACAACGTCTATCTATTCAAATTCATTTGTTATTTAATATCCAGATTCTCAACAGGCAAGGTTGTAATAGTTATGCTATGTTTTATTAGACCAACAAGAAGTTGTCTGTCTTAAATGATGTTTCAACATTTCTCAGTGATGAATTTGCTTAGGGAGAACACTGGTGAAAATAAAGCACAAACACTCTTTGCTGTCATGTTGCATTACTCACTATATGGTTAAATTGAAATACTATATTTCATATTTTCAAATATTGCAACTACCGGTACCGGTAATATGTCTCTTGATGTAGATTAAAACAGAGTACTAGATCAATTTGGTATTTGATTGTTTCAGTGACTGACTGCTCTATTAGGTGTAATTTATTGTGGCTATGAAATCTGAAAGTTACCTGTTTTACGACAGGTGATACAAGGTTACTATGCTAAAAAGGAAGGTTTTTGCTATTTACATAATTACCAGGAAAGCTGTATAGTGTTTGTATGGATTCTGTACAGCATTTCACTAATTACCTAACTATAGAATGCTTAATACTTTATGAAACGTTGTATTATTTCATGTCCATGTGACATTTACATCCTTGCAAAAATACTTCACAACAAAATACTTATCACTGACTTCGTCCTTGGTATTAATGACTTCATGAATAACTAATCATGTTATGTAATGGTCGATGTCAATCTTTATCATTTGAAAAAATATTGAAAATTGGTCAAAAATTATACAACTAATGTTCACAAATTTGCCTTAGATTTTTAATCTGTTAGTCACAGAGAATTTCTGTGTCAGAAGCAGTTAGTCTCGCACATCCTTTCCTTTTGAACATCATATTTTTTTTCCTATCAATATTTTGCAAATTTGTATTTATTCTATAATTTTTTTTTTTCATTTTCAACCAAAGTGACATAATTTCCCCTTTGGGTGTAGATCTGGAACAAAACTTTTTTATAAAATATAAAAACAAATTATGCAGGTTTATTATGTAAAAAGATGACAAATTAAGTTGACTTTGGTGGTAGGTAAATTGGATGATTTGTAAAAGCGCAATAAGATGATGATTCTGCAGCAAGGAACTCAACACGAACCAAACACCAAAATATTATCAGATCAACCTCAGACCTCCCACACTGAATATTATCAACAGTTGTTGTACATGTACAATAATTCTTCTCTCAAATTACAAGCGTTTCACTCAGTACATACATGTAGAGAGGCTATCATGTTACATTGGATATGCATGTAGACCATCTTATTTGCCAACCAGCATGTTGAATTTTTGATAACAAATGTCTTATTACTTTATTTCACTGTCACAACACTAGCTTGTGATTTGCTGTGACATTGATACCAACAACTCGTTTTATTAACAGAAACATGTACATGTATATTTAATAACAACAGCAGCTTAGAACAGTATTTTATCTTTGCGTGCCAACGACCAGTTCTTACAAACCGGTCGCTATGCAGATAGGTCAGTGTGATCTCCTGTACAACAGATCAACTATTTTGTATTTTGTACATTATGATAACTGCCCCTTATCATGATAATTGTTGTTGTTTACAGATTATGTAAGCGGAGGGGAATTATTTACTCATCTTTATTTGAGAGAACAATTTACAGAATCTGAAGTTCGTGTCTACGTTGGTGAAATAGTGCTGGCTTTGGAACATTTGCATAAGGTAACATATGATAAAACAAGATTTAGTTGGAAATGCCATAACCCCCCCCCCCCAAATGTTGGTGCAACATTTTGTAAATTTGTATGTAGTTTTGTGTAAGTTTTGCCTGGCCTGTAATGAAAAAAAAAAGTATAGAGGTGGTATGTAGTCCGTCTGGCAGCGTGGTCTTCATTGTTAACAATTTCTTATGTCCAGGGTAACTCAAGTAATTTATCTCCAATCTATATGTAATCTTTGCAAGTCTGGTACATACATTTTTGGAAATATTGGTAAAAATGTGTCTCAACATAGCTGTATTTGGTATGTCAAGAATGTCACTCAAAAAGCTGCATTCTGATACAACTTTGACACATATCCACTTATAATATAGCCATTCTTCATTGTGGAAACATGTGATGTTACACTGTAATTCTCAAAGGTCTGTGTTACTCAGAGTGAGTGTATAAATCATGATTCTTCCCATATTGTGGTCTGCATAAAATGTTAGGTATATTGTTGTCGAGGTTATAATCGACAAACGAAGGCATTTGGTAGTAATTATATAAGACCTCTTTTAAGAATTTCTGCACATACACAAAGCCTAAAAATATGATGTTTTTTGTTACGATTTTCATTGATTTAAAATGAACGATAGGCTCAGAGAGCGACAGGAATCATTTACCAGAAATCACTATGAACAGTGATTCGATTCAGTTAGATATATATTCAAAAGATTGTACGGTGTATTGTTTGTTTTGTGCAAGTGATGTAGGAAAAACATTACCACGCCTATTTAGTGATTGCAATATGTACGTAATAGAAACCGTACCCCGAACTTGAGCTGTTGATCCCAATTTTGTATTTGATACATTGTAATATAAACCACGGTTTATATTTGGATTTTAACGGTATATAGTATATGGGACATGATTAACTTTTAACCTTTTAGCACCTGTGTGTCTAAAGCAAAGTGTGTCTGTCTATTTGCAAGAAAAAAAACCCACAAAAAAATGAACATTAATCAAATTTAGTTTAGGTACCATGTTCTTGCATAAGTAGGTAATTTGCAAATTGAATTTCTCAGGTTCGTAGAGAGAGGTTAACTTATACATTGTAAATAGATTAATTATTCATAGAGTTAACATTTTACAGGTTTTGCTAATAAGTTGAGGACACACTGGGTATTCACTAATGGGACCCCGAAGTATTATGAATGAACAGCCCCCCTCCAGATTTTGAGTTTATAATCATTTACTGTATTTGCACATAAAAACCAAAATTTATGTGAGTTGTATACTGAATGACTTACTTTTCCCATAAAAACACACCGTAATTCACATAAGCAAACATACTTCTGATGTAGCTTATACAAATGTATGGTTGGCATGTATTTGTGTGTTAGTTTGATCTTAGCATATATTTCTGGACATTAAACACAACAGCATTCAAATACAAGATACCTGCCTTGCGAATGGTTAAATGTGGTTCATAATAATCTTGTCTTTGTTTTACCCTTTTATTCATGTACATAAGCTTACATATTGCTGTTTTAGGTTCCTTATTTGTTGACATTAAACGTAAACAATGATCAACAACAACTTGCCAGAGATCTATTTTACAGTGAAATCTGCTTTTAATTCACATATTTAAAGTCTCAAATAAATTCTATTTGCTTATAGTGGCAAAAAAAAATAAAGAAAAAAATGTTTTATTTTGTGACATACCGACAAAAGTTGACCTCGGGGTCAAAAGGTTAATGGCGGGTTTTCAATGGCACTTCAGAGACCACCAGAAATACCGGTATATTAAATTAACCACTTCCGGTTTTGATTTAAATCAATATGGCCACCAAACCACATCACCAATCATAATTTTCAAAGTTAAGTGGACCAGTTCATGTTATTCCCTGTCATCATAGAAAAATTGGCAGCATTCCGTTCAGCTGTTTCCTCACATGGGATCACACAAAATGTGATAGAAGAATAGGAAAATCAGAACGATAACAAAAGGACTGGAAGGCGTCATAGACTGCATGTGAATAGCACAGCAGGGTCCAAGGAAGGGCCATGCTGAATGCAGCATGTGTCATTTAATTGGTTCAGTAGGGAATTTGCTGCAATAAACATGCACACAAATTTCAGATCTGTGGAGCAATTAGACCTAAAGCAACCAAAAGTAGGAGTAATTGAACTCTTTCAGTTTGTATTCAATCCAAGGTGACGGCTAAACCACTTGACCGATTGTTAAAGGACACTTTTACTTTAATGCCCAACATACTTGCAATGTGGATGTGAATAACTAAATTTTAGAACAATGTCTTCATTACTGAAAAAGACTTTAAAGCATTTTGTCAAGTTTTTCAGAAAATTCAATACGGCGACAAAAGTCGCATGACTACTGATATTTTTAATGTGGCTGTAGTTTATATTATGTTAAATTCAGATTGCCTAGACCCCTAGAGAAAAGTAAAATTGGCAAAGAACTGTTAATTAACTGTGCGAGTCGTACCTATGTATACAGAGGACATTTTCTTGTCATTAGTTGGTCATTGGTCATATTGTCAAACTTTTGTATATTTATATTGTGCAATTTACTGGTTGATGAATCTGCATAAAAAAAAATGTGACAGCATTTAGACAGATTGATTGATCATTTGAGAGATCTATTTCAATTGATTATATAACCTTCCTGTGAGATGACCTACTTTCTATGCTCCTATACTGCTGTTCAAGGATACATATGTCTATCCATAAAGCCTTTGAATCAACCACATGCGTCTCTTTAAGTATGTGTGCAGTATGATCTAAAGATTTTACTACATAAATGAGCAAAGTTGTATCTCGTTTGAAGCTTGATCAAATATCACTTCAAATCCATTGTCAGACCTACAATCTTGATTTATCTGGAATATTATCGTAAATTAATATTGTATCTATTCTACGTGTCGGCATGTTATGATGATTTTTTTTCTTATACCAGTGTAAACCTAATCTTGATAGAAAATTGTTAAAATTTGGCTTGCAAGACTGTTAAGTATTAACAACTCATTACTTTTCCATGCAGTTTATGATTGATTGGGCTTTTCATCAAGGAAACTACAAGTGTCTTTTATATTATTTCCGTCAGATTCCATACAAAATATTTTGCACATATGGTCTTTATTTTATGTCAAAGTCTGTCTACAATTATTAGACGCAGTTCGAAAACGGGGACTTATGTTTTGACCCATGTGCATGTGTGCGTGTGTGTGCGTGCGTCCGGACCTATATCTCAGAAATGCCTGGACCAATCATAATCAAACTTCACACACCCATCATACATGATATTATACATATGCACATCAATTTGTTTCACTATCTGATTCAAGATGGCCGAATGGCAGCCATTTTTGTGCTAAAAAATCACCAAAATCAAGCATTTCTCGGCTGTTTACTCATGGATTTTGTTCAAACTTGGTATATACATTAGACATTATAAGACCTTGATGCATGTCATTTTATTTTCAGATCGGATTCAAAATGGCTGACTGGCTGCAATTTTGTTTTAATGAATGGGCTTCTAGACCCATATCTCTGACTTGTTTTGACTGATTATGTTCAAATTTTTAATATTCATTATACATCATGTCACAGATAGACAGATATATTGGTTTGACGATCCTATTCAAAGTCGCTGAATGGTGGCCTTTTTTGTGCTAAAAAAATCATCAAATATAAAGCATTTCTTGCATTTATGGATGGATTTTGTTCAAACTTATAACATACATTAGACATTACGGATTCCTGATGCACATGATTTTATTTTTAACATCTGATTCAAAATGGCTGACTGGTGGCCATTTTGTTATAATGAATGGGCTTCTAGAGCCATATCTCTGACTGACTGATTATGTTCAAATTTTATATATTCATTGTACATCATGTTATAGATTTAAAAATATTGTCAATTCTTTAATACTTCCAGACATCATAAAGTACCATATCTTTTTTAACCATATGTCACAGAGCGAAATTTTGAGATATATTCGTTATATATTCTGTAGGAAACCCTGGTAAATGCCCTAAAACAGACACATTTTTCAATCCATTTTGTACATAGATTTTTTCTGAACAAAGTACGATGACCCCAATTTTTTTATTCTATTTTTTCATACTTGTGACATAAAATATCAAATATGTGAAAATGACAATATTTTTACTTCTGTGTAGCATTCTACCTTAAATGGGTAAATCATCATCATCTAATTCAGATGAAATCTGATAACTACATGGGGTAATGAGGTCTATGAGGTAATAGCAGATACATGTACCTTGAACACTTGTTTGTTCCAACAGTAAATGGTTGGCTAAATTTGGATATGGAAATTCAGATGAAACCTCATTAAACTAGTAAAATAATAAAATGTAAGCAATTTAATGATTTTGACAAATATAAAACATGACAAGGATTGATTATTCGTATGTGTTGGACATCATAGTCTGAAATGGGTTTTGAGTTCAGTTTTTTTTGTTCAGCGGTTTGTTCATCCATCTGAACATTCATAAAATCTAGATTTTATTACAGAGAAGTCATAATACATATGTTGCTACACACGTTGATTTGTTTTTCATTGACTTCATGGTGGGTTACTAATGCACTGGCAGCCATTTTGTTTCAATACACTTTTCCTGATTATATTAATATTTGGTACAAAGGCAAGACATAGTGAGCTGCATGTTCTCTTAGGTTATTTTTTGGATTTTGATGTAATTTAAATGATTTGCAACCATTTTCATGGAGAAAAATAATTTCAAAGAATACAGTCTTTATATGTCATCAGCAGTTTGTTCAACATGCCTTGGCCAATTTTGTTGGTATGGACATCACACATGATGAGTTACTGATGCAGGACAGATTGTTTTGAAAATGGCCGACTGGAAGCCATGTTGTTTTTAATTATTATGTACTCTTTAACACATTGTGAGTTGACAATCAGTCGATTTGTTTGTGCATGTTCCTTGACATATTTGGCTGAAATGCAAGGCACAGTGACCAGATTTAATGAAGATTTCTCTTCTTACCGTTATATTCAAATGCACTGCATTAGCAACCAGTCCTACTGATGTGGACTGGGTATATTTCATGTAATGAAACTTTTTTTTCAAGTGATACACTCAAACATATTCACTTTTCTTTAGTTGTTCATGGTATATAAGGTTATGTATTTCTTTTTCAAAGAAAGGACCGTGAGATTTAAGTTTTGTTTAACAGTTAATTATGTTTTATTTTCATTGTCAGTCACTTTTCTTTCTGTTTATTTTCTAGTTGGATATCATTTACCGAGATATTAAATTAGAGAATATATTACTAGATATAGATGGCCATATAGTATTAACAGATTTTGGTTTGAGTAAAGAATTTCTACCTGATGCCAAGGTAAGTAATATAGAAATGTAGAACAATAGATATAACCCACCTACGGTAGTATGAGAGGTTTTTGAATCAACCTCAAATATATTGGATATTTTGCCAGAAATACTTTCAATTCTGGCCCTAGGGGGACTACTCATGATCAAAAGCATGTTGCTTAGACCGCCCAGGCAGCTAGTTAATATTTAAGTTTATATCTAAATTAAGGAAAGCCAGTTTTTCTTGATTCTACAGTTAATTTTTCTGTGAATTAATCCAAGTTGGAGTACTTTCCTAACCCTAGTACATTTGGATTTGGGAAACTTCATCAAAACATGCACCGTTGTTGTCAATTCTAGACCTATGACATTATAACATCGGTATGAATTGTGAAAGGAGCTGGGGGATTTAAATAATGGTATGATATGTAGTGTCAGCGAGTTCCGAGTTCCACAAGTTTCATTTTATCATGTTATTCCCAGGGTAGTGTTGAGACACCTATCGGTACTGTACATTTGTAGCTGAATACAGAATGGTGATGCAATGTTGCAACAATATAACAGTGGTACGATAACTCAACAAATAAGGGAGAACCAAATCAGCAATGTAGAACAAACTGGCATTGAAAATACTTCGCTGGTAGAGAGCTAATTATATTATTTTCATGGCAAAACTCCATGATGGCAAACTATAAGCGACCGAGTTGCAACTCTTTCAGTCGAGAACCAAAAGATACCAGTGTTCATGTCACAAACACCATGTGACCTAGTCATGACCTGGGGCACACTAGCAATGACATTGCAGAACATGAAAGCTTATGCCCTTCCAACTTTTCCACTCATAGCTGCCGATCACCTCAAGCTGCAGACAGCTAACAAGGTAGTGTTAACACTGGTATCACCAAACTGATCAACCATCTGACCTGATAACATTCCCAAAAATGAGCGAAATTTTGCAAACAAACCCACAAGTGTACCAACTTCAGGTTTTTTTTATCTTGGTTGCTGAATGTATAGTGGCTGGGTCATATTCTTTTGGATATGAGGTGTTTCCCTAATGTCAGTGATCTTTGAAAATCGTTGTCACAGATGTGAAATTAGTTCTGGCAAAATTTTTAAGGTTTATTTAAAACCTCTCAAATGTAAATATGTCTTGGTTGATTAACGCAAGTATAAAAACTAAATTTTACATGTATGTTTGATAGAATATCTTTATCAACACATTGGGACATTGCATAAAGCTGCACATGCTATGATAGTGGTTTTCACTTCAAACTGAGAACAATTATGTAGCCTGCCATAAACAGTGTGTTGCAAGGTAGAAATATGTAAGAAAGTATTGATTAAAATACGTGCAGGTGTTAAAATTATGATACCCAAATGTCTACTGTCTCTACTGAGACTTGACCCAAATTTTTCAAAATGAGAACATTTTCCTTAATTGACTGCTGATACACATATATAGTGACAATTATATGGTGTGTTCTATTCATTGGTAATATTAAGCTAACTATTGTGCAATTTTAAATATAAGTATATATGCTGTCCAAACTGAATTGCAGAATTTATTTTCAATTGCACGATTTCCGTAGTATCAAATTTCAGATTATAAAAGTAATCAGTGCACCGAATACATGTAGTTAATACAATACATTGTGTGATGTCTTCACCTTTTTCGAAATCTCATGTGCTTTTAAATGTATAATGTCGGCTATATAGGTAATTTGCCCTTATTTTATTATACAGGAACAGGTGTAGATCAAGTACTAAGAGAATTTGAAATGAGTCAATGTTGAGTTATTAATAATTGTACATTATGTGATAGGCATAGGCACAAGTATGAATGTCATGTGACTTAATAGAGAATAAAATTTCATCAGCACTTCCTTCATAAATAGTAAGTAAATAGTGTCTGTTGCATTTTGGTTTTAGCTTATCAACCGAATACTAAATGAACTGAGATAAGAGTGTCTGGTTCATCTCGGTTTTATCTTATCAATAACCAGATGGACTGAGAAAACTCAATATTTGATTATCTACTTTCAAGAGTTTCAAGAAAATGTACATGTAGAACTTTTCATAATTGAACAGGTCATGTTTACTCTATAGAGTCCTATTTACATGTAGTCTGGATAAACTAATAACATGTTTATTTCAAAAATTTCGTCTATGGCTCCAAAATATTTTCTTCAGTATGACCTTGTATCAATAAATATTAATAAACTGTATTGATCAACCTTATTATGGATGTATTTTATACAAAATTGTTATTGGAGACTGCACGGGAAAATGGCATTTGATTTATTCCAGTATTCATTAGATCCTTGTTGCCATGGTTATATCTGGATTGTGCAATCAATGATTTATTAATTATTTGTTTAATAGTATCATTTATCTTATGAATTGTAGATCAGTAATCTATCATATCACATGATCTCTGCAATAAACTCTGGCCCTGTCTACACTTGACTAATAATAAAATGGATAATTATAAAATCAATGGTCATAGATGGGTCATAAGAAAGATAAGAAATTAAGATAAGAAACTAAAAACCATAAGATAATTTTAACAGTAATTTTCGATTTTAAAGTGTTTTACAAATATTGTAAAAATTACTCATTGCCTTTAAATTTAAATTTTGCCACTATTTTAGAGAATTTACAAAAGAAAGTTTCACCCAAATCAGTGTGCCTGCCTGTCCTGTCATCTCCCAAATCAGTGTGACTGCCTGTCTTGTCATCTCCGAAATCAGTATGACTGCCGGTCTTGTCATCTCCCAAATCAGTATGACTGTCTGTCCTGTCATCTCCCAAATCTGTGTGACTGCCTGTCCTGTCATCTCCCAAAACAGTATGACTACATTGTAGCTGCCTGTCCTGTCATTTCCCAAATTAGTGTGACTGCCTGTCCTGTCATTTCCCAAATCATTATGGCTGTCTGTCCTGTCATCTCCCAAATCAGTGTGACTGCCTGTTCTGTCATCTCCCAAATCAGTGTGCCTGCTTGTCCTGTCATCTCCCAAATCAGTGTGCCTGCCTGTCCTGTCATGTCATCTCCCAAATCAGTATGACTGCCTGTCCTGTCATCTTCCAAATCAGTGTGACTGCCTGTCCTGTCAGCTCCAAAATCAGTATGACTGCCTGTCCTGTCATCTCCCAAACCAGTATGACTGCCTGTCCTGTCATCTCCTAAATCAGTGTGTCTGCCTGTCCTGTCATCTCCTAAATCAGTGTGTCTGCCTGTCTGTCCTGTCATCTCCCAAATCAGTATGACTGCCTGTCCTGTCATCTCCCAAATCAGTGTGGCTGCCTGTCCCATCATCTCCCAAATCAGTGTGACTGCCTGTCCTGCCATCTCCCAAATCAGTATGACTGCCTATCCTGTCATCTCTCAAATCAGTGTAACTGCCTGTCCTGTCATCTCTCAAATCAGTGTGACTGCCTGTCCTGCCATCTCCCAAATCAGTGTGATTGCCTGTCCCATCATCTCCCAAATCAGTGTGACTGCCTGTCTTGCCATCTCCCAAATCAGTATGACTGCCTGTCCTGTCATCTCCCAAATCAGTGTGACTGCATGCCTGTCCTGCCATCTCCCAAATCAGTATGACTGCCTATCCTGTCATCTCCCAAATCAGTGTCACTGCCTGTCCTGCCATCTCCCAAATCAGTGTGACTGCCTGTCCCATCGTCTCCCAAATCAGTGTCACTGCCTGTCCTGCCATCTCCCAAATCAGTGTGACTGCCTGTCCCATCGTCTCCCAAATCAGTGTGACTGCCTGTCCCGTCATCTCCCAAATCAGTGTGTCTGCCTGTCTGTCCTGTCATCTCCCAAATCAGTGTGACTGCCTGTCTTGCCATCTCCCAAATCAGTATGACTGCCTGTCCTGTCATCTCCCAAATCAGTGTGACTGCATGCCTGTCCTGCCATCTCCCAAATCAGTATGACTGCCTATCCTGTCATCTCCCAAATCAGTGTCACTGCCTGTCCTGCCATCTCCCAAATCAGTGTGACTGCCTGTCCCATCGTCTCCCAAATCAGTGTCACTGCCTGTCCTGCCATCTCCCAAATCAGTGTGACTGCCTGTCCCATCGTCTCCCAAATCAGTGTGACTGCCTGTCCCGTCATCTCCCAAATCAGTGTGTCTGCCTGTCTGTCCTGTCATCTCCCAAATCAGTGTGACTGCCTGTCTTGCCATCTCCCAAATCAGTATGACTGCCTGTCCTGTCATCTCCCAAATCAGTGTGACTGCATGCCTGTCCTGCCATCTCCCAAATCAGTATGACTGCCTATTCTGTCATCTCCCAAATCAGTGTCACTGCCTGTCCTGCCATCTCCCAAATCAGTGTGACTGCCTGTCCCATCGTCTCCCAAATCAGTGTGACTGCCTGTCCTGTCATCTCCCAAATCAGTGTGACTGTCTGTCCTGTCATTTTCCAAATCAGTGTGACTGCCTGTCCTGTCATCTCCAACGAGAGTGTGTAAATTTGGGCATATGGTACAACGGGGTCACTTAATTATTGATTCTCAATAATATTCTTGTTGGTATTTCCATGCGATGTCAGATTCATTGGCAATATACTCAGCAACCAGGAATATTTGTGTTCATAGCAACCGTTACATATATATATATATATATATATATATATATATATATATATATTTGGTGATTTATTTAAAGTCTTAACTCCTGATGAGTGAGGTACTCCATGTACCTTACGAAACAGTACTGTAGAGTGAACTTTACTCATGTAGTCGTGTCTTATTTTCTCTGTCCACGTAATATGTAAATCTGCTCTACAAACTCATCGTTTAGTATCGAGCACTCTCACCTGGAATAATCGACTACCTTCCTAAGTACGCTCCTTGTATATACTCGTCGAGCACTCTACGATTATCCGACATGAAGGAAATAAATCTTGGCTACTCCACGAAGAACATACCAATACCTACCCAGAAAGATTATCTACACCGCCTTATAGAGAAAACAGCACACTTCATATGAAGAATGCGATGGAAAGCTTACTTCT